ACACACACACACACACACACACACATAATAACTAGGTGTCGGGGCCAAGCTGGCTCACAGGTGGTAAAGCAGAGCGGGGCCAAGTCCTAGTCCTGACCAGTGTGGGCTCAGCCCAAGCCGTGTGGCTGGCCTTGAGGGCCAGGGTCCCTTTTTTTTGACATTTTCCACAGCTGCAAAGAAATGGAGGCAGATGTGCCACCCCGGTCCCTACAGCGGCGAAGCGTCCTCGGCAGGTGGCCGCGGAGGTGGGACCCACAGCCCCAGCAATGTGCAAACCCCAGTGGTGGCTGCAACTGGGACATCCCTCGCCGCTCCCCTCCTCTCCAGTCCCTTGCCTATATATAAAATATTTCATTCCTGAGTGATTAAGATTAAAATAAGGCAGGTGAGTCACTCTCCCTGGTGCCGCTTATCTCTTTCATCTGCCTCATCCTCTTCCTCAACCCATCTGCAGCCCTAAAGGAAAGAAATCCGTCAGCGCAGAAGTCAAAGCGAGGATGGAGCCACTTTTGTCGCTGTGGGGAAGAGGGCAAATGCAGCGGTGTTTTGATCTGCGTGGATCTGAGAAACTATGCTGCTGTGCAGATTTTCTGCTGGGAGATGTTATGCTCCTCCAGTAGCACTTTTCACCCCCAAACTGCAGAGCACTTGTTGGAGGCGCCCAACAGGAGCCGTTGCACCCACTTCACAGAGGGGAGGATGAAGGATGGTGTTTCAGAAGGGTTTTTTTATTAGGTAGCTGATTGTGGGCTCCAACGAAAGGGCCACTCCGTCAAGCTTCGTGAGAATTATAGGAACAGAAGGATCTGAAAGGCAATCATCTGGGCTATTTCTCACCCTTTCTGCAAAATCTGCTTCCAGGCACAGAGCACCAGGGGTTACAGGGAACGTCCACCAGACGATCTTGATCTCCCTCACTCCAGCAGTATTTTAGAGGTTTTGAGGGACCAGTCCAGGAAATAGAGTAAAAAATAACAAATTCAGTTCCCTAAATCGGGAAGGACTGAAATGTCAATTGTAGAATTGGCATAAACATACATGAGTCCTTTGAAAGCATTATTCCGAAGTGAGATTAAATTTGGCCTTAGCTGGCTAAATTTGAGTGAGATTGTCTGGCAATTGTGGACATATTTCTGAGCGGCTGCTTAGGCTCCCCTATGGAGTGCTCTTAGGTCAGTGAATCCAGCCTGGCAAGGCTCCTTCTGCCGTAACTTAAAAAACCAGGCTTTGGATCTCAGATTTTACAGTACAGACGGCCTCAAATGGCCTTGAACATGTCTCCCCATTCTGATGCTAAGTGCCATCTACACAACTCAGTGGACCCCCACCTAGCTGCCATTTCAGAAGGGTTCCCATAGGCCCCGTGCCATATTTGCCAACCCCACAGAGATGTCCCAGGTATCCAATGGCATCTCATGTGGCACCAGACACCTCTCCTTTGGGCAACTGGGTCTCACCTGCAACCTCTGTGCGGCGGCAGCTACAAGACAGGGGAGGATTGCCAGGGATGCCTGCACCTTCCTGAAGGTCAAGAGCATCGCGGAGTGAGCAACAGCAGGCAGGACTCGCTGCCAGCCCTCGCCACCTCACCTACAGCAACGTAGGGACATGCCACCGCTGCATGTAAATCACTCTGCAGATATCCACCAACTCACAAGACTGTGCCCAAATCACTTGCCAGATCCTGCCACAGGAATTAGCATGTGAATGAGCTCCTGCTCTTTTTCCCCTCTTTTTCCCACCAAATACACCTGCACCAAGGATGTAGAGTCCACTTTTACCATTTGCCTTCTCTCTGAAGGAAAGCATATGTATTTATCCTGTGAAATGCCTGATAGTCTGTGTAATATTTTTGGAAATAATTCTTTTCAAGGAATTTTAATCACTGTTGGTGTATAAAAATAAATAACAGAATCTGTGACCAGATGGTGTGCTGGGTGACATGGGGCTCTCCTCACAAACAGGCAACTGCTCACCAGCCTTTCCGAGCTGCCTTAGTCTCCAGTCCTTGCAAGAGCTGCCTGCAAGCTGCTGTCATCCTGAACCAAATTCATCATTGGGAAGGAGTAATTGGAGAGAGAGGAACATTTTCAGCAAAACCCAAGGGCCAAGTATAAAAGCAAGAGGAATCCTGTTTTCTCATCTTGCCCCCGCACAGAAGCTACTGGACTCAATCTTCATCCGACAAGGCACCTCCATAGGAGACGGAGCAGGTGTGGGACCTGCAGCTCCTTGTAGCCCGGATTGATAGGTCTGATACTTGAGCTTTCCTCAGCTTAGTGGGGATTTTTTTTCTTCAGTTCCAATCACTACGGATTTTGGTTGACCCGAAGAAGAGGGAGTGGAATCCATTGCTCTTCATCATTCAAAAACCACTCACAAGGTTTTGACGCAAGGCCAGTTTGGCTCAAAGCTGGGCCCAAGGCCAGCTTGAAAATATCCCTGAACCTTTCAACAATCACTGGCTGTTTTTCAAATTTAAAACAAAAACCCAGATCAGGGAAAGTCTGCAGATTTTTAGGTAGCATGAGAAAACTTCTGTACAACTTGTGATGAATTCTCATTATGTGTTTTTTGTTATTTTCATGCTGGGAGAATCTCTCAGTTTTCAAACTCTGCTCTTGCATCAAAGATTGTAGCAGTATTTTTCACAAAAGGGAACGGTCCGAGAAGTGTGGAGGAAGATAGGGGAAGTATTGGGAAGCTAGCTGGAAAACATACTGACCAGTCCACTCTCCTTTGGATGCTTCATTCCTTGTCTAAATTATCCCAGCTCTCTGCCTGTCTAGGGAGTATTACAAGTTTGTGATACTTGCTGGAGCCAGGGATCTCTTTCTTGGCCCATTCCTACAGCTTGGGAACGTGCAGGAGTCACTCGCTGAGCCGCAGAATTAAATAGTTTTCTGAAATACATGAGTTTCAGATATTCGGCAATATGTCACAGCTCCTTATTCAGTAATTCAAGAATAGTTAATCACACAGAAAGAACAGGAAAGCGATTGCTTTGCCCAGTAAAGGGAGAAGGCAGCGGTACAGGTTAAGGCAATTTGGAACAGCAGCTACAGGTGCTGCAGGCACGGATGGAAACGGAGACTGTGGGCACGGGGGCTTCTCTGGCTGCGATACTGCTCTGCCTGGCATCGTCGGCAGACACACACGCAAACACCCAGCATTTACTTTGCTAATCAGTGGGAAAAAAATGTAAAATGTTTAAAGCATGTCACTACTCTCATGATATTGCTAATCAGACATCCTGTCAACCTACAGCTGGTAAACACCAGAAAAGGTCTGTGTTGCTCAGTTTATCTCCACCTCACCACCGTTTGACACAGGCAAACGCGTCCAAAGCCCCTTTGCAGAGGAGTCCAAAAGCAGAAAACTGTTTTCTGTCTTTCTCTTTCTGTCTTCCTTTCTTTTCTTTCTCTATTTTTCTTTTTTATCCTCTCTTTTTCTTTCCTTCCTTCCTTCTTTCTATCCTTCATTCTCTCCTTTTCTCTCTCTTTCTCCCTTTCCCCCATTCTGTGCTGCTTTCTGAAAGTCTGTATCTCGGACGAGTTCAAGCCTGAGGACGCTTCCATTAAACGCAAGCAATATCGCAGTCATTCAACTTACTGGGGATTTACGCTGTTTCAGAGACCACCCCTCTTTGTTCTGTACGCTAAGATTCAGCATGGCCCTTTTTTTATCCATCAGCGAACAACAAAGGCTCACGAGATCTTTCCTCCCTTCCTGATGCCATTATAGCGACGAGGCAGCCCTACCTGGGGAGCCCGTCCCTGCCCTCCTTCACGCACGAAACCCGGCGCAGAGAGCGGCCTCACAACACGAGCCGTCTGCCTCCGGCTCCAGCGGAAAGTCACGCTTCACAACCTGCCGCTCGGATCAGCGAACGGGCAGCGCGTCGGCAGATTCACCGCCCGCCCGGAGCTACGCAACAGCAACACATTTCCCCCAGCAGCCGATGGGCGTTAGATCCCATTTTAGTGCTGAGCTCGGCAGCATCAAGCAGGCGGAAAGGCACCGGGGGAACATCCATGTTGAGAGCGCACACGCGCACAGATGCACGCTCATACCCTGGAAAAGCCACACAGCTGCGTGTCAGCGGAATAATACGTGTAGTCATGCAGACGGCGTTGTTAACTGGTCAGCTACTCTTTGGGCTGATTGACTGTGGGGGATTAGGGAGGACTCAGCCCAAAAAGGCAGTTCCTAATGCTCCTGCAGTTCTTGCGTAACCGAGACTGAATCTCGTCCCAAGCCCTGACCCTCAACTTAGTCAACACAAGTTTAATGCTGTCGGGCTGCATAAAGGGAACATCTACTTCCCAGGGAAGAGAAATCGAGATGGGATCACCGGCTTCCCAAAGGCATGGTTATTTGGTTCCCTTGTGGATGGGCAGGAGAAAAGGAATTGCGGAAATGTCTTTCAAAAGGGAAACAGAACCCCTTTCCCCCAAATATTTCTACCAGAAGCAGAAGCCTTCTGGGCTTCATTAATAAATGTGCGCCTGCTATTAATACATGCACTACAGAAATGAACCCTAAAGCGAGGGAAATCAAATACATCCCCAAAGTAAACTGAAAATCACCGAACCTGAAAGCCTAGTTAAATTACATGCAGCTTGAGTTAAATACACTTAAAAAGCAAAAGGGGGAAAACACTGCAAACAAAAAGCCCATGGTTCTTAAATGGATATGTCTCAAAAGCATGCAGAAAACATACAAGCACCTTAAAATAGTCACTCCTTTAAGTCTTTATGTTCAAATAAAACAAGGGGGCCATGCAGGAATTGCAGACAACAAGGATGCTACGCAGGAGTTTCAGACAAACAGACTAACTCCTTTGGATTCTGTCACTCCGGGTGTGTACAGGTGTAAGGCAAATGAGGACAGACCCCCACCACATCAGGCTGAAATCAAGCGCCCTCCAGCATTCAACGGCAATCTGGATGTCCTGTGCCTGGCAGACTGCAAAGAGCTTCAGGGAACTTGGCTGGGTCCCGCATTCCCCCCTCCCCCACCCCAGCAAATACGATTATTTGCAAAGGCCGAAATCCCTCCTTATTTTCTATTTTCCTCCGCGCCCTCGCTAACTCGTTAGTAATGTTTCGGAGGAGCTCAGCCGGGCGAGGAGCCGGGGAAGGGCCGGGGCCGGGCCGAGCCAGGGCTGCTGCTGTCGCATCTCCTTTGTTGAGCATCCCTGGGTACCGCTGGCCTCTTACCTGGGGATGCAGTCGCCATGGCAACGGGCGGGTGTTCCCTGGCAGAGCCGAAAAGCAGCTGCTCCCGCTGCTGAGCCCCATCCCCATCCCGCAGCGGAGCCCCAG